CCAGCTGAGAGTATCAGCCTATTATTTTTAACTGCTGCTTTTTTTAAATGTAATGCTAATTTAATTATAATCTCACATATAACTACGTTTATGTTATTTTTTGTTATCATCACTGATGTACATTGCCCAGAGTGACCATTGGTCATATGGGTTGTGGCGAAATTGAATGAATGAATGAATGAATGAATTAGAGTGACCATTGGTCATATGGGCTGTGGAGAAATTGAATGAATGAATGAATGAATAATACAATATATTTCAAGAAATCAGTTGCTCCCATCATCACCATGTTTTCCCTTTCTCTCCCTCCACCTTGGTCCAGATGCTCATTAAGTCTTTCCCTCTGTTCACTTTCCTTCTCTCATATTCCAGGCTATCTTTCTGTCTCTCACTGGGTTTTCTGATGCTTCTCCATGCTGAAAAACATTTTCCTCCACTAAAAATAAAATAAAATAAATACAGTGGTGCCTCACAAGACAAAAGTAATTTGTTCCGCGAATAGCGCTGTCTTGCGAAATTTTCGTCTTGTGAAAAGCAGTTTCACATAAGAATGCATTGCAATGCATTCCTATGGGAACCTCACAAGACGAATGAATTATTTTGTCTTGCGAGGCATCGGTCTTGGGGGGAAAATCATCTTGCGAAGCACGGCCATAGAAGAAGCTGTCTTGCAAGGCACCACAGGGCTCGAAAAAACCGTTCGTCTAGCAGGTTTTTCGTCCCATGAGGCGTTCGTCTTGCGAGGCACCACTGTATGGGGTTTTCTTTCCTTTCTGTTCTTTCTTTTTACTTACTGAAAACTGTACTCCAAGCTACACAAAGATTTTAAATGACTAAAATTACAGTGGTGCCCCGCATAGTGATGTTAATCTGTTCCAGGATTAACATCGCTAATCAGATTTGTTGCTATGTGGGGGGCAGGGAAACCCATAGGTTTAATGCGTTCCTATGGGGCGAAAACTCTCAAAAAAAACATTCATCTAGCGGGTTTTTCGTCCCGTGAGGCGTTCATCTTGCGAGGCACCACTGTATGGGGTTTTCTTTCCTTTCTGTTCTTTCTTTTTACTTACTGAAAACTGTACTCCAAGCTACACAAAGATTTTAAATGACTAAAATTACAGTGGTGCCCCGCATAGTGATGTTAATCTGTTCCAGGATTAACATCGCTAATCAGATTTGTTGCTATGTGGGGGGCAGGGAAACCCATAGGTTTAATGCGTTCCTATGGGGCGAAAACTCACCACTATGCGAAGATTCCCCCATCCTGCCGCCATTTTTGCCACGTGGTAAGCGAGGGCAGGGCGTGAAAACAGAGCGGGTGGCCATTTTTTCTTCCGGTGGCCATTTTGGAACCACCGATCAGCTGTTTTTAGAACATCACAATGCGAAGATTGGTAAGCGAAACGCTTACCGATCATCGCAACGCGATGTTTTTCCATTCAGAATGTCGCAATGCGATCGCATTAGCGATCACAAAAAATGCATCGCTATGCAGATTCTACAGTAAACGGTGCGCTTGTAGTGAGGCACCACTGTAATTTATTTATTTTAAAAACAAAATAAGTAACCTTGAGACACACAAGGTTTGAGTCCTCTTTGCATACAAATCTGATTTCAGATGTTTAGCTGTCACAGTCTCAGAGTCATGGCAGAAAAAGTCGGAAACTCTGTTGCTTACATAGTAAGTTGCACTGAAGTAGGCTCACTAAATCAGTGAGGACTTGGTGACTCACAGACTCTTTCCTAAGTTCCACTGAGTCAAATGAGCCTGCTTTAGTTGCAACTTATTTTAGTACCATAGCTAGAATCAATTAAACCTACAGAGGAATTGACTCACTAAATTCCCCACTGATTCAATGGGCTTGTTCTAGAGTGACTTACTCTACTAAGCAATAGGAATTCAGCCAGAAACACACACATGAGCATGGAGGTCAATTCTCTTTTATAAGATAAAATCATACTGCATGTTAAACAACTGTTATTTCCACACTGAAATTGTTTTATAGATTGCCCTCCCAGTTTGGCTTGAGTGCTATGTTGCAAAAATCCCAACTTGTAAAAAAAAGTCTGCCTTATAGAATGAAATTTATTTATTTATTTATTTATTTATTGGTTTGTTTGTTTGTTTGGTTGTTTGTTTGTTTGTTTATATCCCGCCTATCTAGTCAGTTATGACCACTCTAGGCGGCTTACAAAAGTGGAGGGAACGTTCATCAGCAAAGGGTGTCCTGGTCCTTTCCAATGTATTCATAACCAAATGGACCATCAGTGCTATGTTGGCTCATTGCTTGAGTGCAGATGTCACAGAGGTGACCCCAGGAGTAATTTTGTCCAAATGTCTATTCATCATTCCTTCCATGAACTGCAATTCAGTTTGCCCTGATCATGTTCCCCAGACAATACATGTATAACTTTTCTAAGGTATGCAGGCTGTATTTCATTGGTGTTGCATGTTATATGATATCTTATCCAGAATGTAACAAATACTGAAACATATGCTGGAATTCAAATATTTGAATGCTGAACATCTTATTTCTATTACCTTCAGTTCCTTCCTACTCTCCTTTTTGGTTGTGTTTTCATAGATATGTTTATCAGCTAGAAGCCAGCACATGGGGTGGGAGCAATACTAGTGACAAATACGTCATCCAGATGCCATTAGCAACACCAGAGGAAATTCGCATCCCTTATAATGTCACTACGATAGATGCATATTCCATATTCGTAGCTTGGGATATTCCCGGTAAGCATGTTTGTTTATGTACCATTTGGTTAGTTTGAGGACATATTAAACAATATTATCTATCTGCTGCCGTTTTTCATTTTACTCTATATTTATTTTTGATATTTAGTAGTGAGCATCATTGTTGACTGAACCATTAGATGGGATTAGCTATGCTGCCTCAGGTGGCAGATTTGGGTGTATCATAAACAGACACATTAATGATTTAGCCTTTTAAAATTTTACATAACAGTAGTCGGAAGGTATCATTTGGATCTGCCATGGGCACCTAAATATAGTGGTGCCTCGACTTATGACCGTCCTAACTTATGACCAATTCGAGTTACGACCAGCTCCGGCCGCAAAATTTTGCTTCAACTTGCGACCTGAGCTTTGAGTTATAATCAGAAAAAAGGTGGTGGTGGGGAAGCCAGGGAATTTAAATTGCTAACCATTGGTCTGCGAAGAGGCTGCTTCTTTGTAGCTGTTTCATCCCAACAGTTTGAGTGTGTGTGTTTGCAAAGAGGCTTCGGACTGCCTGGTGCTGCTTTCTGCTTCTGAGTGAGTACATACAGGGTTTTGCAGTGTGGGTTTGGGCTGGGGGGTTATGTTTCTGTGCTGTGATTTTTTTCTAGTCATTCATTCATTCATTCATTCATTCATTTATTGGCCCCAGGGTATTCCGATGGGGCTTACAGTGTTGATTTGTTTTTTGGTGTGTTTGTTTCAGCATATTCCGATGGGGCTTACAGTGTTGTTTTGTTTTTTTGGTGTGTTTGTTTTTTGCCCGAATACGTTCCAATGAGGTTTGCAGTGTTGTTTTGTTTTTTGGTGACTTTTTTTCAGCCCCAGCGCGTTCCGATGGGGATTGCAGGGTTTTGGGGGGGGGGTGGTGATTTTCTCCCCAGCTGGAACAGATTAATGGGTTTCAATGCATTCCTATGGGAAATGGTGCTTCGACTTACAACCAATTCAAGTTCCAACCATCTTCTGGAATGGATTAAGTTTGTAAGTCAAGGCACCACTGTATGTTGGGCCGTTTCTTGGTGATGATAAAACACTGTGACTGTACTGCCATGCTGAATTTCAGTGATTCCGCTTTGCTGCAGTTTGATTTGTAGCTTATCTTCCATTTCAATTTGCAGTTATGATCACACAGAAGTTGTGGATTGATTTGGAGCCAGTGTCCACACATAGATACAGTATGAGCTGCATTTCAGCCTGCTTGCCTCCCTGCCTGTCTTCCTCTACTGATCCTTTTATGGTTCATAGTCAAGCAGCTTGGTTTTTAAAGGGTTGCACAGCATTAGAAAAAAAGGCAGCAGCTTTCCAAAGTTCTTCAGAATATTCACAGAAACACACACGCTGCAGAAACATATGTAGCCTTCTATATTTTGTTGGGGTTGTTTTTATTTCACAGCAATTTTTAATGCAGAGGTTATATAGTACTAAACTAATGTATCAATGTATCAATGCAATGATTACACTAGATTTGTGTCTTCAAACAATTAAAAAATAATCAGAACACTTAGGAGGCAGATTGTGAGACAGGGTGTTCCTGCAATTCCTAAATGTCACAGCTCAACTGCCTGCGTTGCCACAAAACTACCCCCAGGCATGCCCCATTCTTTTTCAGAAAGAAAAACAAAGGATCAGACAGAGAAAAGTCCATTCAAATCATTTGAACTTGAAAAAAGTTAGAAGCCTCCAGCAGCAGAAAAAAAAAAAACTTTGTCAGGAACAAAAGGTCAACTAATACAAATTGGACTTTGTGTCATGTGATCAGTAAAAAAAATATTACTCCATCCATTATTGGAGCAAATCCCGCTGTATTTGTGCATAGAGTCACAGCCTTAGTGAAACAATTAAGCAATAGAATAGATTCTTATACATTCAAGTCAAAAAGAAGAAAATATGTAAAACTGTAGATTTTCATTGATCGGTGGGCATCCATCTGCACTAGGACCATTCCTACTTTATGTACTGTAACTGGTTAATTAGTTTTGGCTTTAGAACAGCACATTATAGTCAGTGGTAGCCAGGATTTTTACTCAGGGATAACAATCTCTTTGCACTGAATGGCACAAACATTCAGCCAGTTCCGCTGTTATCAGCTGTCCAGAGAGAAAGCAACCCCCCCCTCCAAAAAAAAACACACACTTCATTTCTAGTATCTGGTCATGACCAGCAAGCATGCAAATCAACTAAGTCTCCACTGCCTCACCATCTACAGGTATACTTATGGATAGTTTAAATTGATTATTCCCTATTAACTCTGTTTGATCAAAATTTAGATACTAAAGGGTTGACTATGATCAGAAAACATGTCCATAACTGCTGTAAAAGGTGAGCACCTTGAAAGTTAAGGAGATTGCAAAGCCAACATCTGTTTCAGACAGCAATGGAAGTCTTAGGTATTTCATCAATTAATCAGATTTTTTAAATTGCAAATTGCTTGTTTGTGTATCTAGATTTATTAAAAGATTACTGGTTTCTTAGGTTAGAAATATCCATTAAAATTCATTGATATGATGGTGAAGAAATAATCATTATATATTTTTATATATAATCCTTCTTCTGAATTTTTTTAAAAATACACCTTGCAGAAGAGCCACGGCTTGACAAGAGGAGGCAAAGAAAGAGAGAGAGAGAGAGAGAGTTATATATTTTTATATATAGTCCTTCTTCTGAATTTTTTTAAAAAAATACACCTTGCAGAAGAGCCACAGCTCGACAAGAGGAGGCAGAGAGCGAGAGAGAGAGCAAGAGAGAGAGAGAGAGAGAGAGAGAGAGAGGTATCAACTATAAAGTTACCTCATAAACATTTGCAACCATGCCTGGAATACTAAATACTCCAGTGATGCCTATTGAACCAATGGTTAATAGATCTATAATATCCTGAGCTGTCAATCTTTTAGTTTTCCGAAGCACAAAATCCATTATAGAAATGCTATAATGTATGAAAAAGATTAAAATCTTAAATTAAACCTTCCTCCTCCTCTACTACCTAGAAGGATTTAGAAATCAGAAAGAAGGCAGGTGTGTTTGACTTATAATCTACAGCTGATTTCAGTGGAATGTGTCTCATACTGTCTCAGTTTTGACAACATATTCCAATGACAGTTTTGAATATTCATTGTCAGAAACAAGTTTTGTGACCTTCTTACAGTCCGATCCTGTGCAGAGTGCAGGCACCGACAAACTGAACGATCCTATGTCTACCTCTGTTTAGGTTAAGGCTTCAGTCACATATAAAGAATGGAAAAGAGGTAAAAGTGACTTATGATTTGTTGGAAATCATTTCTACCATTTCTATTCTAGCTGTTTGAATTTTATACATTTTAATTTGTTTAAAGGTAAATACTGACTACAATACATTCACAAACAAAATTCAGTATATATGTTGCCCATGCAGGAAGTGAACATGAGAGAAACAGGGCAGCTCAAAAGAAAGAACATGGGGACAACAGCTGCAGTCAGGCATGGCTATCAGCCTCCTTTTCTGGGCTTCTGGTGACATTTAGATAGCCATGCCACAGATCTGTGGACTAGAGTGCTTTTGACTTCTTCCAGGAGGACAGTTCTTATAGTTTCTTTGTTTCTTTGTTTGTTTGTTTTATATCCCACCTATCTGGTCTTATGACCACTCTAGGCAGCTTCCAAGTACATACATAAAATGACATACAGTTGTGCCTCGCTTGCCGATGCTAATTCATTCCAGCGAAATCGCTGTAGAGCGAAAACATCGTCAAACGAAATAAAAAAACCCATTGAAATGCAATGAAAACCGTTCAATGTGTTCCAATGGGCAGAATACATCAGGTAACAGATTCTTCAAGAAGATAAAAATAAAAGAGAAGAAAAAAAAGAAATAAAAATCAAATATACTGTATATAGTTCACTCTTCATGGCCACACAGCGAGGATTCGTTTGAAAGAATGGCTGGCACATCTCCTTTACAAAAGAATGTACATTCTTGTGATGGGTGTATAGGCATGTTCCTCTGGAGCAACTCCTACTTAAAGTACAGTAGGACCCCTGTATCCACAGGGAATTGGTTAGAAGTCCCCCCCACACACCTTGTGGATGTAAAAAACATGGATAATAGTGAACCCTAAACATAGCATGTAGACTGTCTTTCAAAAGGAAGTCAACCCATAAAAACTAGGCCTAAGGAAAATACTGAGTGCAACTGGATAGTGATACAATGGAAGGAGAAGCAACAGTAGCATCAAGTTCTAGACAACCATATAGTATATGTGTAACCATTGAAATTGCCTATCCCCCAATATATTCTGGGTTCAGATAGCTCTAGCTGTAGAATCCAAGGTTTGAATCTTAAGACTATTGGTATGCAAAGCGTAGCAAGATTTGTTCTATTTTGTGGGCTTCATTTTATTTTCCTTTGGAGTTTACTTTTTCATGAATGACTCTTTAGTTATACCTTCAATACATTATATTTGAAATACTGGATCTCTTCTTTTTACATTCAAAGGTCAACCTTTGTAATAAGGGTTGGCAGTGATTCTCCCATTGAGACAGTCATTTTAATTGATATTGTCTCCAGGAATAAAATTGCTTTTGATTAATCAAGTTTTGATGAGAGGCTAGCTGGCCACACTATCTTCCTGCCTATGGAAAGAGGCTACAATTTGGCATTCAATCCCTCTGTGTTTCATAATAAATTTGGATCACACAATCACCCACAGGATTAATTATGGGCTACCTATCCATGGAGTCTTCTTTTATTTTAATTATGATGTTTCAACAGCAGTGATGTCTCCAAATTCTATAACTTTATAGATGTAATAATTCAGAACTCCTGTCTTAGCTAAATGGCGAGATGTCCAAGCAGTGGTTAAAGTGATGGATGTTGCAGTGGGGAAAGTCTTGACATACCTCACTTACTATGGAAAATAGGGCTTTGGTTTCTGAAAGAGCAAGAGATGATGACTTTATATTCACTTTGTTTTGCAAGATGGTGCTAAAGGGGGCTTGATTCTCAAGGCTGGGGTTACTAG